TGTGCTTATAATGGCGTCCATGAATGTGTGATCGTCTGTTTTGTTCTGGTAACTGGTCACAAATCTGAGTGTTTTGCATTATGTTTACACACACAACGGGACACCACGAGCGTAGCTCTCATCCTGTAACTACACTTAGGTAATTACACACACACACACACTTAAGTACCCAAATAAGCCACAACGACATTAGAGAGAATTACTTCAGTACTAGTGTGAACAAATGCAAGGTACTGAAAGTGAATGGTGGAGGAAGGCTCCATATTTAACTTCAAATGTTGATATGACAGGCACCAATATGTTCTGAAACCTGTACACCAATTGATTGAATGCTGAGAGACGGGGCCAAGGAGCCGAAACTCAACCCTCGCAAGCACAACTAAGTGAGTATTAATATATGTAGATAACTTGGGTGACCCGATAAATAATGAAATGCCTAACTACCAAACACCGTTACTGGGACACGAACCCCCGTCCAGCATGACAAGTGGTGAGTTAACATCCTTTTATCCACCCCACTATAGAGGCTGAAGATCAGTTAGTGTGGCTGATTGAACCTAACTACCCGAATACATCCGGGTCTCACTTTGCAGTTACTTTATCGTATTCCATATTTGATGCAACACCACAGCTGTATCATACAGTTAAGAAATGTATGATACAACAAGAGGTCAACCGTCCATTCTTAAACGGTTGTGAGAACTTTACTACAACGTCTTTATGACTTTATAACGCTGCAAATTGTTTTAAAGGGACAGCCATAAACACACAAGGACGAAAATAAAACGCCCCAGAAATTTTTTACTGGGAGGAATAGGCTTTTCCCGTACTTCAACCGTGGAAGACTTTGGTTGTCTATTTTTTAACTTCCTTCAGATTCTTACAGTGCACCAGCTGTCACATATGTGTTGTCTAGTTATAGTCTTGATATTGGATGCTAACAAAATCTTGGTGGTGTTTGTTTAAAAGAAGTATATTAGAGGCCGAAGGGAAAGGTGTGTGGGATGGTTTTGGCAGCGGAGCTAATGTATTGGTCATGTGAGCTGCTGGTCGGTTGGGCTCCTCTGTCACTACTGTGTCATTTTCTACTCTCCAAATAATAAACTAAAAATAACAGTGCATTGACATTGGACTTTTTGTATTATATGTAATTTTTATAGTAGTCTACATATAAGCATTTCCACACCACCAATGATGTGTAAAAAATAGGAACCTGTATGGTAGATGCACAGTACGAACCTGTAGGCATGTACCCAGTGGGAACCTGTAGGCATGTACCCAGTGGGAACCTGTAGGCATGTACCCAGTGGGAACCTGTAGGCATGTACCCAGTGGGAACCATGTACCCAGTGGGAACCTGTAGCATGTACCCAGTGGGAACCTGTAGGCATGTACCCAGTGGAACCTGTAGGCATGTACCCAGTGGGAACCTGTAGGCATGTACCCAGTGGGAACCTGTAGGCATGTACCCAGTGGGAACCTGTAGGCATGTACCCAGTGGGAACCTGTAGTTGTGTACACAATAGGAACCTGTAGGCATGCACACGACAGGAACCTGTAAGCATGTACAGAGTAGGTATCCGTAGACATGTACATAGTGCAAATCTGTAGGCACGTGCACAATGGGAACCTGTTGACATGAACACAGTGGGAACCTGCAATCATGTACGTGCTCAGTGGGCAGTCGTATAAAAGTAACATCAACTACTCTTCATGAATGGTGTAGCCTACTACACAAGCTCGACACCAAGAGGAGTTAGTTTAGTTCATTTATTATGCACCCCATATCCATCTTGTGGGCGGTAGTGGAAAGGGTTACAGAGGCACATAATGGGCTCAGGGACAGAACCCCACAATTCATTTAGCTAAGCTTGACCTACACCGGTGAAATCATTGTCGTTAGTACACCTTTACATAATGATAATCCTATAAACCCTATAGGTTCATATGATTTCATTTGGGGGCTTGATTTCAGTAATTAGAATGTCCCTGATTGGTAATTTAGAGTACTAATTCGTTGGAGCCACACATGTTATTTATGAATAGTGGCATGGGTGTTAGCGAGAGCCCCTATACAAACAATGGGACACGGGGTAGGGTGGAGACATCACACCCACAATAATATAAGCAGCTATTTAAATCCCCTGAAGAGTGGGGAGGGGGAGGACAATAAACACCATGGGTGGGTAGAGAGGGATAAAAGTCAACATTTGCCACCACTTTACCCCTATACATGAGCATTATACGTGCTCATGTATCGTGATAAATGTTCATGTAATGATATACAACATATTTTGTTTTTGCTTAACCCCCTAAATTGCATACCTATATAAAAATACTACATCGAGGTGCGCCTGACTAAAATAGTTAAAAAATCAAATAGAGAAAAATAGCATATGGCGATTGGAGCACCAGAGGAAGTTAATTAAATTATGAATTAATTAAATTAATTAAATTAAATTATAAAGTTAAAAAAATTATGTGATAAGAAAGACTGCTGTGATTATGAAATGGTTAGCTTTGATGTAACTTCTTTATTCACTAAAGTTCTAGGTGATGACTTACTAAAATTTTTATTTGGTGAACTGTTAAAATATTATTTGCCTCTTCCAGTTCCTACGTTAATAGAATTGATAAAACTATGTGTTATTAACTCTAATTTTGTTTTAATAAGGAATTATATTGTCAAAAATTGGGAATGGCTATGGGTAACCCTCTTTATCCTGTTTTAAGCAATCTTAATATATATGGAGTTCTTTGAAAATAAAGATTATTAAGTAAAATGTTGCCTCTAATGTTACATGGTTCCGATATGTTGACGGTGAGTTTAACTTATGGTCTAAGATTAAATAATCTAGCCCCATCCATTAAGTTTACAATGGAAATGGAACAGTTCAACTCTTTACCATTCTTTGATGTGCTAATTTATAAATGTGCAAATAATATCAAGTTTTCTGTATATAGAAAACCAATGAATGTTGGGTGTAATGTCCACTTTAACTCATCTCATCTCATCGAAGAGCAAATCAAGCTGTATTTTCTTGTGTGTTCCTGAGGTCTCTGAAGATATATAGCCTGAGTGTATAGATATTGAAATTAGTAATATATATATAATTATATATATATATATATATATATATATATATATATATATATATATATATATATATATATATATATATATATATGTTTCAATTTAACATACCCCAAGTCATTGATTGACCAACCCAGTCAAATTGCTCATAACACTTTCTTTACTTTGAAAAAGAAAGAATAATTTAATATTAAGAATCCAATAATTCAGCCATTTCATGATAATTCCAATGAAATTCCTAAATTACTAAAATAATTTAATATCAATGTAGCGTTTAGGAATCTTTATATAAAAAACACTCACTAAAAATTCTCCTGATAGTTGCAATGGATGTGTGTAAAAAAATCCATGTAAAGATTGTAGTAAGTTCTATATTGGGCAAACAGATTACCGGAGAATAAAAGAGCATAAATATACGTAGTTTAAGAACTGGTCAGGAGCCCAATGCATTATTTGTTCACTTAAGAAATTGTAATCATTCAATTGACTGGACTAATTCATGCAAAATAGTGGAGTGTAAATTAGTTACTAAAAGAAATATTATTGAATTTATAAAAAGTAGTGAATTAGATAGACTTACATCTATGAAGAAGACTTACATTAGATAATATTAATGCAAGTCCAGGATTATATAAATTAGATAACTTTATAATTGGTAAGATTTGTGATAGGTATAAAATTATGTAAACAATAAGTGTATGTGTAGTACATTCCAAGAATGAGGGAATACCCAGTACTATCCACTGAATACCCGGTTAAAATCCATTGAATACTCAGTTAAAATCCATTGAGTACCCAGTTAAAATCCACTGAATACCCAGTTAAAATCGATTGAATAACCAGTTAAAATCCATTGAGTACCCAGTTAAAATCCACTGAATACCCAGTTAAAATCCACTGAATACCCAGTTAAAATCCACTGAATACCATGTTAAAATCCACTGAATACCCAGTTAAAAACCACTTAATCATTTCACCTTCATTTCACTTCCATTAATCGATATTTTAACTTATAGATCTATATCTAGTCCGGTGTAGTTGGGTATATAATCCCAAACCCTTATATTCTCTGTATTTCCTTTATAATGTGTTGAAACAAAAACATTCGGAATTTTCGTTTCATTTTCTAAGTGGATACTTAGGCACACTTATACATATATTCGGTCTTTCCTTCACCGAAGTTTCTAATTCTATGAAGGAGACGGTTTAGAACAATCCTCTTAAAAGTTTTGTAAAGACAACTATAGTAGTAAGAGAAATGGGCACGGAAGACATTCTGCTGGTTGAAAATAGGAATTAAAATATATGTTAGTCCGTGAATTGGTGACTCCATTTTCTCCGGGAGATGTGGTTTTCCCTTTATATGCAGAGCTGAGTGCTATTCAAATTCTGTGAATAGCATGTTGCTGTAATCAGCCTTGTCGCGCATGAAATCAACGAGCCTTTCTCTATATCGTTGCATCTTGTATTTAGTTCGTTTTGTGGCTAGAGAAAGACTTTTAAAGACATAGAAGCATCAGCAAGCTCATTTATTTGGTGTAAAAGATGAGGATGTGTGATCTGCTCAATTTTTTCCCAGAATTTTTTTGTTCTAGCTAGACATGTCCGGCTTATCGGGGGTGTTAGAATTGAGACCATTAGCAATATGGTTTCACAATGTTTTTGCTTATGCTCTACAGCATCCATGCAAAGGAGATCCTGAAACTTTTGCACTGTACTGCATCTATTACATTATATAGAAATGCTATACTATATTGCAATACTGTATTCCTAATAATATCCATTTTACACCTTGGAGTTTCAAATTCTCGAAAAGCAGACTTTTGAATCAGAGAAAACTACCCATCCCCGTGTTTTATGAGTATATTAGAGGGCATAGGTGTAATGGAGCAAGACTTAAACACATGAATAATGAATGAATGAAAAGGTGGCGGTGGAGCGCATGCGTGGACCGTACGTCACACCCAGCCTGACAGCCACATCGATTGGTGCGTCCTGTCCGGGGTGTCTCCCTCTCCTCTACAATATTTGCAGTTTTTAGACGGTATATACATCAATTATATGTATTCTCTCGGTATAGATAGCTGGACATAAGTGCTTAGTGGTGTGTGATTACGCAAGAAGCGTATTGTAGTTGGAAATCATAAATTGTTGCATAAGGCGTTGAGCAAGTCTTGTAATGTTTGTTTAGGTGGTGGAGGAACTTCTATACGGGTGAGTTTGTTTTCCCTGTAGGTGCCTGTGGTGGCCTTAAGAGTGGCAGGTGGTGGACGAGGGGGGGGGCATGTGCAGCTGGCACTGAATGAGGGAAAACAAGAAAGTGTAGGGGCATGACACATTCTGCGAGGTCATTGTTATTAGATGATCCTTAGGGGTAATTTCTTATTTGTGTTTTTGAGTTACTGTAATAATTCATTGTGTCGGGGGGGGGGGACAGGCAGCCAGTTTATATATACAGTACTTGTTAGGCTTATTTTGAGGTCCCCCTCCAAGGGTCGAATTACTAGCCTTCCTCAGGATGCAACCCCACAACATGCTGACTAACTCCTGGGTACCCATTTACTGCTAGGTGAACAAGTGCATTAGGGGATAGGAAATGCACCCAACCATTTCTGACCCGCCCGGGATTCGAACCCGGAATTTTCGATTGAGTCGAGAACGAACCCCGACTGTACTACCAGGATGCAAACTATGTTTATATACAATATGTAAGTAACTCGTGATATTTATCGCTAGAAAACGACTTGCTGTGGGAATGTCTATTGTTTCTGGGATACTAACCTAACGACAACAGACCCAACCTATGCTAATACTGTACAGATTAACCTAATGATATATACGGCATAGACACACACGTGCTGTGTCGATTAGCCTGTGAATAATTTAACTGTACCAGTAATCAGACAAGCATTTTGACACAGCTACTTATTGTCAGAACCATATAAAGTATGGTATATCAAAGTAAGTATATTAAAATAAACTGTTAGTTTATGTGTTTTAAAATTGACTGGTGAACTGTTTTGGGGTTAAAGCGATTTGTCTATGATTTAACACTACGCCTATAGTATAGTGGCAGTGGCCTGTCATCTCTTGCTATGTTGGTAGTCGCCTGAGCTGACTTAGCCAAGGCAAAGTTGTTAAATTTGCAAAATATATTTTGTTGGATAGAATAAGTGCCAAGTATGATTTGTTACTTAAATGCAAAAGTGTGTGTGGGTTTCAAGACCAGGAAGATACTGTAAATTATCAGAGGGAAAGAAATGGATGTTGGTGACCTGTCGTGCAATAGTTAAAAGGTCTTGGGTTTGATTCCTGCAATACAATAGAGGTGTTTGGGAAAAGATTCCTTTCACCTGCATAAATTAACAAAATTGCTACCTTTGTTTATCAGAAAATAGGTACTGTACTTTGGGAGTTAGGTAACTGTTGTGGAAAGCATCCCTTGGGAAGCTAGGAGATGGCCCAGGGGGAAAGAGGGGGGCCTCGATATGTTTGAGGTTTCCTGTCCCCAACCGTGGGTAACAGTAAATTATATAATAAATAAGCATACTTGCCAAAGAGTGATAAGTACCTGTATTTTATTTGCAAAATACAACAGTATTAACTGAACAAATCCACAAGGGCCGTGACGAGGATTCGAACCTGCATCCGGGAGCATCCCAGACACTGCCTTAATCAACTGAGCTACAACAGGGTTAAAGAGAGTTGAAACCGAAGTTCTACTGAACTTACTGGATCCTGCAGCCTCTCCGAGGCACAAACCAGGGTTTTACACAACTCCCCCCTGCACTCAAGCTATGTCAATAGGCTGTTCTCCCTCTTCGCTCTTACATCATTACACACAGAAATCACACTAACGTGATGCATTAAAGGAACAAATCCACAAGGGCCGTGACGAGGATTTGTTCATTTGATGCATCACGTTAGTGTGATTTGTGTGTGTAACAACAGTATTAATTATGCCCTTTGTTCCCAATATTGATTTTTCTAATTTTTATTTGTATTCTTATTCCTAGAAATATTTTCATATATAATGTACTATTTATCACACTGTATTCAGTAGCACTCAATGCTGTGAGTTTTGAAAAAGAAAATGGTTTCCTGGCTTCCTGACCTCAATGGGGACAGGAAGCCAGTGGCTTGTCAAAGGTCTCCCTATTTTTCTTGATTTTTTTTCCAAATGGATTATGAACAGCAGTCTTGGCATTTATGGTTTTGGCAGGTTGTGGTTCCATGAATGTATAACCCTATGGGTAAAAAGCATTCATTTTCTATTACATTGTGGCTTGTTTAGCTTGAAGCTGTTGCCCCGTGTATGTGTTACATTCGACCTTTTAAAAAAGTAATCTGGATTAATATCTTTAAACTTGTTCGGTGTTTAAAGGGTTTTGATGAGATCGGCCCAGTTATGTCTGGTTTGATGTGTTAGTCCTGTAGCGGTTAGTCCTGTAGCGATCAGTTTTCCTAGAATGAGTGTTGACTGAGTTCTGGGATGACTTCTGTTGCTCTGTGTTGTACGGCATTAGTTAACACGGTTGCCCCAGAACTGATTGGATCTAGATTTGATTCCTGGACAGGGAGACAAATTTAGGCATGTTTCTTACATCTAATTCAGTTTGCCTAAGATGCCTCAGTTTACCTAGCAGTTAATAGGTACCTGGAACTTGGTAGATTGCGAAATCATATCCCGAGGAGTGATCAGTCATTAGTTAAGGTTACTGCGATAAGACTAACAGGTTTCTTGTCCCTGACAATAGAAGGCCAATTATTTACTTGTCATTATGTACAAAAAATATACAGTACTGTATGTTGTCAAACTGTAAAAATAATTGTGGGGGGTTAAAGGTAGGTTATTATGCAATTAAGGTAAACTATAGTACAGGATTCTATATGCCCCATTGTTCTTATGTTTGGATAAAACACGAGACGTACAGTCTCCGTGGTGTAGTGGTAAGATGCTTGCCTGGCGTTCCGTGAGCGCTTTGTCCTGGGTTCATATCCTGGCCGGGGAGGATTTACTGGGCACAAATCCTTAACTGTAGCCTCTGTTTAACTCGACAGTAAAATGGGTACTTGGTTGTAAAAACGATTCTTCGTGAGGCTCGTATTCCAGGGAACATAAGATTAACCAAAACCAAAAAGTACCTAACTTCATCTTCTTAGTTTCCTACACTGAGCTTTAAATTTGCTCTGTACCTAGTGTTACCCAATCTCCTAATTTTTATGTAATTTCAAACAACCTTATCATTGTGTTCATTGCTGTCTTTTATGTGCTAGCCATATGCTGTATTGTGACTACCAATTTTTGTCAACTACCATTCAAGCTGTCATTGCAATCAATCTTAGCTACCTATGTGCTTTAATATACTGTACCTACAATTTTCTCTCATCTTTTTTTATTTCATGTAATCTGTTATCATTTTTTGTCTATAATTTTGCAAGTATTTACCTCCTTAAAATTTTCTTAGATTAAGGACCTGCCCGAAACGCTGCGCGTGCTAGTGGCTTTACAACACTGTAATTACCATATTTGTATCCTCACATTCCTTATGTACATTCTTGTATATGCATAAATAAAATAAAATAATAAAATTAAGGACTTGCCCGAAATGCTATGCGTACTAGTGGCTGTACAGGAATGTAACAACTCTTGTATATATAAGTAATTAAAAAAAAAAAAAAAAAAAACTTGAGCCCCAAGGCTGTGTTGCCTGTTTGTGGAAAACTGTGCTTTACAGCTGGTAAACAGTTATGTAGATGCTTGATAACCAGTGATGTCTCCCATGAAGGCAAGTGCTGTACCCAACGTACACAGCACCAACTCAAAGACTACCTATAGACAGCCAGTGACCCAGATGTTAGAGGCATCATGTGTCCTGTGAACTCTGGATCGCTAAATAAAGTTGGTCTATTGGGAAAAAAATAATGAAATCTTTGAAACTCTTAAACCCAGTCTGGCAAAAAATGCAGATTGGTCTAACAGGGACATTGCAGAGTAAGAGCCAGACCTCCACCATGCTTAACAGCACACCAGAAGCCATCCAAGACCCACCTACCTCCGCCACCTTTGGCCAAGCTGGTGTAGAATATCTCCCTCCCTGAAGAACCAACTGGAAAAAAAAAAAAAAAATTGGAGGGAGTAGAGTGGAAATTGATAAACTTAACTGTGGCTCCAGGTGATACTGGCACCAGGTATTGCATGTAGCGGGCCGTTAAGGAATTCCAGATGGCGGTATGAAAACCTAAAGGGTAATCATCGCCATCCGTTGTCTAGCAGTTCTCAAGTAGATTGTTCAAGAGTCCTTAAAGGGAGTATTCTGGGCGGTGTTGTTCTTACTTGGGGCCAGGAATACTGTTAGGCTTATCAAGGTCCCCCAAGACATACTAATAATGACCTTCTCTAAGATGCAACCCACAAATTGTGGTGTAACACATTGATACCTATTTACTGCTTGAACAGAGGCATCAGGTGAAACATTGCCTGAATGTTTGACATACAGTACTGTGGAAATCGAACCTGAAACTTTCAATTGGGACCTTACTACACTGAGTGTGGTGATAGTTGTATGTATCCTTTTTAGGGGGCAGTGTGTATACATTTTAGCTTCTAAATATTGCATCTAAATGTGAAATATAATATTGCAACATATAGTATTTTTGTTTTTCTGATAAAATTTAATGTTTAATTTTTTTAAATCAATTAGTAGGTTGAACTTAGTTTTCATGACTAATTATGAAACTTTTTCATTTCAGATTGAACTACAATACTGTACTACAGTATACGTGTTGAATTTACCTTGACGGGGGCATTAAGCCAGTCCCCCCATTATTCCCGAAGACAAAATGGGGTCCTTATTTCGGAGTGAAGAGATGGCACTTTGCCAGCTCTTCTTGCAGAGTGAATCTGCATATACTTGTGTATCAGAACTGGGTGAACTAGGACTGGTACAGTTTAGAGATGTAAGTACAGTATAAGGAGAGGGATAAATTATTATGTTTTTAAATACAGTACAGCACAATATTCATATTTTACATGCTTTTGAAAACGTAAGAGACGATATTAACGGGATTGTTTGCTGTGTTAATGTTTGCCAAGAGTGGCTCTTGCACAATTAGTGATGCTCAATTTTAAAATATGTACAGTATTGTAGTACACAGTACTGTATACTGGATACAGACATATACCCACAGTCTGATGCCTGCAGACCATAGGCCAGTGCATTAAATTTTCATAGTACTGTATTTTAATGTATGCATAAAAGCTTTCTTGATACTGTATTTTTATTGGCATGAATATTACAAGATATGATTATGGTTCAGCAATACTGTGTATGGTTGACATTTTTCAAAATTATGTATGAAGTTTGAGGAGTGGATGAAAATTATAAATGCTACTGGTGAAATTAGCTTGGTGAATAATTCACTTTAAAATCACAATTTTTCTTTGGCCTCGATTCACCTATTTCATACAATTTAATTGTGAAAATTCAGTAGAATGTTGGTCGATGGGTATAGAGCTAAACAGTGTGTAGGCAAGGGAACACAGTAGTGCTCCTCTTTTAGAAATACTAAGAGTAACATTTCCTGAAGTATTAATACACATCATAACACTTGTACAGAAGTAGTAAAATGTTCCCTCATTGCTAGGTTTTGTCAATTTTAAGTTTTTTTTCTTTTTGGCTAGGTTTGATCTATTTTTGTGCTAGGTTTTGTAAATTTTGGAAAATAATCATACATTCATGCGGAGCATCTATATTGCATTTCGTTTAAAGGGCTCTGTGGAGGAGGTATTACTGAATTTTGTTACCAGTTTAACTGTGGTCAGTGGGGAAAATGTGGCACTCTGTGTATTCCCTCAAGGTGAAGTGTAGGGAAGTAGCAAAGTTAATGCTCTGCTACTTGCTAACATTAGTTTTAAATATTGTAAAGGAATACAGGACTTAAGCTTATCTAAGATGCATTTTTCTTGAATTTCTAGCTGAATCCTGAGGTAAATGCGTTCCAAAGGAAGTTCGTCAACGAGGTTCGTCGTTGCGATGAGATGGAAAGAAAGTTACGGTATTTGGAACGAGAGATTCGGAAAGATGGTATTCCTGTACTGGATACCGGAGAGAACCCTGAAGCCCCTATGCCAAGAGAGATGATAGATTTGGAGGTACAGTAAACCATTGCTTCTAGTTAGGCATGTTGTTTTTGCTCTTGTAAGTAAAGACAGTGTAATTGTATTTCTGGACTTGGTAGCTTCTTTTTATAATTACAGTACTTTTTAAAAAGTTGTTACATGTTCAGTAAATTATTTATTATACAGTACATGTATTACATTTATTCTTGGAAATTTAATGTGTTATGTAGATTAATCTCCCATCCATTCAAAATTTGTGGCACTGTAATTTTGCTTTGACGTACTAAATGTAAATCCGTTTCCATGAACCCTTTCACTGCAATAGTTAGTAACGTTTGACAAACAAAAAGTCGCCATTCTCTTATCCAGGTGCTAAGAAAGAGTTTCCTAATGTACCACATTCTTTCGCCTTCAAAACTAGTGCCTGGACCCAGTAAATGTTGCTGATGGCACCATTAAGAGCTATAATCAAAATTATTTATGAAAATATAATTTTTTGTTGTTAATTTAGATCAAATATGAATTGAAATTAAATACACAGTAAGGGGAAATTTTTTGCAGAGTTTTTGTTGTATCTTGGGTCTAAAATACATATTTTCTTTGTGAGTATGTTTGTTTTAATTGATATTTTATGCATTGTAATTTTTTTTTTGCTACACTGATCTTTCATATGGAATAGGTTAGTAGCACTTTGCTGTGTATACCCAAGCTTGTTAATTTTTAGCTTTATATATATAAATATTAGAGCACTGGAGTGAGTTAAATGAACATGTATTCTATATAATGCACTTAAATTTAATTTTTTATTTCTAAAAATATTTAGTATTTCTTATGGTACAGAATACTATATAGAAAAAGTACTAAAACACATCATCTTTTTAAAAACACCTTTCACCCAACCTCTTCAAAAACTTCAACTTTTGGAAGGTTTTGTTGTTTATAATGTTCTGCCTAGAGAATATTGATGGCCTGGTGTTGCATTACAATGAGCACTATTTCCATTAAAAATTAATACATTTTTTAAACTGTACAGAAGTGCATATATATTTTTTGAATGGCACAGCTGCAAAGATCAGTCACTTTCGGCTTGAGATGATTTAAAACACGAACAAATCCACAAGGGCCGTGACGAGGATTCGAACCTGCGTCCAGGAGCATCCCAGACACTGCCTTAATCGACTGAGCTACGACAGGGTTAAAAGGGTTGAAACCGAAGTTCTACTGAACTTACTGGATCCCGTAGAGCCCTTGTGGATTTGTTCATTTGATGCATCACATTAGTGTGTTCTGTGTGTGATTTAAAACACAATAAAATGTTAATTTCTAGTGCCATATTTTAACCAAGGTAGGAATAAGGCCAAAACTGTAGTTCCGCAATGAAAGAGTTAATGATGCACAAAATCGTGATTTGGGGGGATTATGTGGCTGTAGAAAGAATCATGATCATGTATGTAGTTTAGTGTGCTGTGTATTAATGATATTCAGATTGCCAGGTAAATTGTTAAAATATACAGTATTGGTGATTCCAAGATCTATTTTTAAAAATGGATATTTCCAATAGGTTAAGTTTGAGAAACTGGAAAATGAGCTGAAAGAGGTCAATAGTAATGCAGAGGCACTGAAGCGAAACTATTTGGAACTGACGGAGTTAAAGCACATCCTGAAGAAAACCCAGGTGTTCTTTGACGAGGTATGGAATTCGTTATTTACAGTAGTTAATTTGTGAGGTTTGGTATTTGTCACCACCTCCACCACCACATCCAATACCCTGTTTCCAACTTTCATGAGGTAGAGTGGCATCTGCTTGGAAGAAATAGTGTAAATAGAGATAAAAAGTGCACCAGATAGATTTGCCATACCTTCCACACTACATGCTGCTGTATCATGTAGAACTAGCCCAATCACCCTCCAGCAATACATCAACAGCAGCAGCACCACCACTGCTTCATACTACCAGAAATAAAGTGCTTCTCTCGAGTTTTCATTTAAAAACTTGTCAAAGTTTTCACTTTTAACAAACTAAATTTGTTTACTCTTAATTTCCTCTGATATCTTGCATGCACTTAGGCATGCAAGGTTTGTCTTCTATCTACCTTCTATCCTTTATTGGATAGAATTTCTAGGGCTATCACATTTTATCCATATTTCAAACACCACTCTTTTTCTATCACCAACTGTACTCATACCCACATTCAAAATCACGAGTCTTCGTTTGTATATGGGAAAACATTCAACTAATCTATATACTGTGTTCCTATCATTATCAGCTAGAATAGGGTCCTGGTAGTTGTTCATTCTTGATACATGATTGGGAATGCTGGGTTCAAATACTGGGCGGGACAGAAATAGCTGGGTGTGGTTTCCCTTTGCCTAATGCCCATGTTTATCTAGCAATAAATAAGTACCCAGGAGTTAGTCAGCTTGTTAATTTGCCTATGTTCTACTTCCTGCAGAGATGCTCATGTCGGCATTTAATTACAAAAGTTTCCTATTTCATATATGCTCAGTACCCTAAAGATACGTTCTGCAGTCATCTTGCGTTTCTCTAAATTGGTAAATTTTATTCAGGTTATGCCTATTGTTTATGCAGTAATATGCTTTGTTGATTTGCTGCTTAGCTGCTTAACTGCAAATATCAAACCCCATGCAGTACTGTATTAGAGTAATTTTATTTTAACCTAACTGGCTTTCTTCACCAATGGGAAATCATAGTACAAGGGAAGTCAAAGGTAGCAAAAGAGATTAGAGGGAAGAGTTAAGAGGAATTATCAAGTCTGAAGACAATTAGAACGGGCTACAAAAGCCTTTGCAGAAGCTACCAGAATAGCAGCAGTAGGGGAGGTAATTATATCACTAAAGTCAGCTTTTAAGAACAAAGCTGGTAGGAAAATCCAACAGGCAGGAAGTGGAGAGAGAATCATTTACAAGCTGCTAGAGCCAACAGGTGAGACAAGACATAAGACAAGGATGACTGAAGTGAGCTAGCCTGCATCCTCCAAAGTTGGGGCAAATAATGCAGTTTGGGAAGTTGATAATTTTGTAGGATTGCACAGTTCCAGGGAAAAAACTCCATGACCAATGAATGGCATCTTTAAAACCAGCACCCCAGTGAATTACATACTGATATATGCTCCTAGGCCAGGATGTGTCAAAGGAAGAAAGAAAGGAAGCAAATAAAATTAAAGAATTAAGACTAGATGGAAAAAGAAAGGGTTGAAAGTAATAAAAGGAAGCAGGAGAGCTGAGTCAGGCAGAAGAGCTCCCACAACAGTTACGAACTCTGGACAGTACACACAGCAAGATGTCCCTTGGTGACATTGGGTCATGCATATTCTTGTCAAATGTCCCGACTTCCAGGATGTGTGTGCGTCTTGCTTCCTAGATGTCCCTCGCGGTCACCTGTCCCTCAATAGTATCCTTTGTAAATCAGATGCCTTTGATGTTCGCCTTATGTGTTTTTGTTCTCGTATTGGCATCCTTAGTGATATTTGGCGCCTTTTGAATATCCTGCACTTCTGACAGTGCTACATAAACTCCCTGGAGTCATAGATGCACCTGGCTTGGTGCCTTTTGATAATTTCTTTCTTATTGACATTGGGAAATGCAGCTACAGCTTGAACACCTCCCCGCTCTCATTTGCCCAAAGTCAAATGGCACTCGCATTATCCAGTCAAGGACAGTCACCCAGTAACAGTGGTATGAGGGTTACTGCTGTACATCCACTAATACAGACAGAATTTAAAATAAGGCAATAAAGCTGCAAGAATTAATACTGGAATGAGTTCAAATTAATTCTATAGCAGAGATGAATGTAACTAATGCATCAGGGAACATGATCTTCCTAAGTGGATTCTAGATAACCAGGAAAAAAAAGAATGACCATGGGGAAAGAATTGGTGGGTATGTTATACTGGAGTTTTGAGGAAATTGCAGTGGTAGACAACCCAGTGGACTGCATAATGAGAATAACAACAGTGGAGAACAGTGATTGATTGCATAATAACAACTGGAGCAGTGGAGAACAAAAAATTGCAGTCATAAAACCCCCCTGCCCCAAACAGTTTCGCTCTGGCCAAGGGAAGACGTCAACGTAAGCAATGAAAACTGCCTACAAATCATGTATGAGGCAGCCACTGGTCAAAGAAATGTAGGCTTAGCACCTAATGCTTGGAGATTTTAATGGTCAAAATAAGTTGGAAATGTTTACATTCTCTTTGCCTATGTTGACCTGGTAGTAAATAAGTAAAATGGAATTAATAGATTGCTGTGGGTTGCTTCCTGGAGGATGATCAGTTGTTTGCTAGGATAGAGGGACATCGACAAGTCTAAGTCTTCCTGTCTCATCTTGAAAATCCGCATAGATTGTCTGTAGTTGAAAATCTGCATAGATATATTGAGTGGTATTTGTTATATGATTGAATGTATTGCAGGCGATGAGTCACAATAGCGTGGCTAAAGTAATTTGACCAGACCACACACTAGGTGAAGGGACGACGACGTTTCGGTCCGTCCTGGACTATTCTCAATCGATTTGAGAATGGTCCAGGACGGACCGAAACGTCGTCGTCCCTTCACCTTCTAGTGTGTGGTCTGATCAATTTGAATGTATTGTTACTATATTCAGTACTGTACTCCTATTTTTATTCTGGCCTGATGCCTTCACACCCCATGAAAGTGGAAAACAGGGTATATACAGTATAATTAGTGTGTGTTTCTGTGGCAAATTATAATTACAATTTTCTTTCAGGTAATTAATTTTACTTTGTTTCCAGGGTTTAATATTTAGAAGCTACTCTAATTTTCCTTTTTAATTAATTTCTGAAAATGTATTCATTAATAGTAATTTCAGTAAATTTTGTTCCATAAATTTTGTATTGCTATAAATAGGCAATTGGCTAATGCTTTACAAAAATACTGCTGCAGTATAAATATACAGTATTGTGTATTTATGTAAATGTACTAGTGTTAATTCTATATGAACTAGTAGTGTATATAATGTACAGTAAATAATAAGGATGTATGGGTTTAATGTGTAATATATAATTGAATGAATGACAATGAATGCAGAAAGAATTGGGTAAATGTTTACCTTCCAGGTAAGGGACTACTTCCGACAGTGAGCATGTTGACCCAAGCAGCCATCATCAGGTTCAGAAAAATAGGGGTTACGTCACGGGTCAAATAGGATATTCAGACACGTCATTAAATTTTGCTAAACACACAAGCTAACTAACTTTTAATGGAATGAGCCAAAATCCCACAAGTGTGTATTTTTGTAATGCATAGTACATCTAAATTCGCTTTTGATCATGTGTCTTGAGGTCATCTTGAGATGATTTCGGGGCTTTAGTGTCCCTGCGGCCCGGTCCTCGACCAGGCCTCCACTCCCAGGAAGCAACCCGAGACAGCTGACTAACACCCAGGTACCTATTTTACTGCTAGGTAACAGGGGCATAGGGTGAAAGAAACTCTGCCCATTGTTTCTTGCCGGCGCCCGGGATCGAACCCGGGACCACAGGATCACAAGTCCAGCGTGCTGTCCGCACGGCCGACCGGCTCCCGATGATGTGTAGAATGTACGTCTCAAGAATAAAGCTTTAACAAAAATTTATAATCTTGCTAATCATTTGCATAGTTTGATGCTGCTGAATTATCTTCAATGCACAGTGTTTATTACTTCAAAAATGTGTAAATCAATTATGATCACAATCAAGGGAAGGAAGCACTATAAAATACTTAATGTCATACTGTAGATGTGGTATTTTGAGTATTTAATTTTATAAAAACTAGTGTGAAAATCATACATTAATCAGAAATTAATAACAATTGAATCACATGATGTTTGGATGAACTGGTGTGGTGATTTCACTATAGTTCTTATTTTTCATTTAATTTAGATGACACTGATGATGGATGAATTTGCATCATATATAAAGGGAATGTTGGTAACTTAGATTTATTTTTATCATTTGCTGGCCAGCTGCACCTGTACAATCAGTTGTACCATCTTTATTGGCATTAAACCATACAGAATATTCTATTATAGTTAGAAATATAATACAGTAAATAATTGGTTTTCTAATGCCAGGAGCAATAAATAACAGGAGATTTGTATCATATAAAGTCGTCTCCTTGGTGTAGTGGTTAAGACACTCGCCTGGTGTTTCGAGAGCGCTTTGTCCTGGGTTTGTATCCTGGCTGGGGAGGATTGACTGGGTGCCAATCCTTAATTGTATCCTCTGTTTACCCATCGGTAAAATGGGTACCTGGTTATTAAACGATTTGGCGAGTCGTATTCTGGGGTACAGTATATTAGGATTAACGACCTGCCCGTAACGTTGCGCGTGCTAGTGGCTGTACAAGAATGTAACAACTCTTGTATATATAAATAAATAAATAACTAAAAAATAAAGGGAGTGTTGGAGGCTGCTGTACACATGACTGTAAAATATTATCTGCTAGATGATGTGTTCCTAATTCTCTTAACACTTTCGCGCTCTCGGCGCTCAAAAAAAAACAATACCCCAGATGCTTTTGGCACTTCACGCGCCTACGCAGTAAGACCGAAAAGTGTACACTCTTTTGACTGTCCTGACAATAATTGAAGGCGCACGTTTTTAAATGTGGTGTCACTGTGTTTGCAATGAAATTGTCTATAAGAGCATACCTATAAAATGCCGCCCAAGCATA